TCCCCTCTCGTACCTCTTTCTCTTCCTCTCTTTCTCTCCCATCCCTTTCATTCTCTAGCACTCTTCTAGCATTCTGTTTTCTATCTTTTAAATCAGGTTCTTGTTGGTTAGCACTGGTTGGCCTTGATCTTATCTTTTAAATATTGGGATTTCGGTGTGTATCATGGTGCCTGACTCTAGCTTTCTCTTTTTACTGTCATTTTTGCCAGGACAGGAAATATCATCTGTGGCATTTAGGTGATGATGATGTTGATGATGATGATGGTGATGATGATGATATAGACAACAAAAAACAGAGATCAAGGAAATAAATCAACTTTGTTTTGATATTTTTGTCAGTGAAACATTCCATTTTTTGAAGTCTTCTTTTTGTTAGTTGAAAATGTATTGAACCAATAAGTCCACTTTGTTATTTCAGCTGTCTCAGTTGGATTTCCGTTGCCAAAAACATAAATGATTTGATATCAGTTTTAAAAAAGCTACAATATTTTGTTGCTATGGATAGACATTAAGAACAACTGCTGCAATAAATATTCTGTGGTTAAAAGCATTGTGGCTGGCTCAGTAGTTAAAAGCATTGTGTGTTTTTCCAGATGACCCAGTTTTGAATCCAAGCAACCACACGGTAGCCCATAACTAACTGTAACTCCAGTTCAGGGAATCCTATATCCTTTTCTGACCTCTACTGGCACCAGGCATCTATGTGGTACACAGGACAAACATACAGAGAAAATGCTATAAACATAAAATTTACTTTTAAAACAATGATTCTGTAAACCATTGGCAAATGAGATAGTTTTCAACACATTTTTTTATTGTGAAGCTTTATTTTTTAAATTTTTTTATTAATTACACTTTATCCACTTTGTATCCCCCTTGTAGCCCCCTTCCTCCTCCCCTCGCAATTGTTCTCTTCCTTCTCCTTCTCCACTTATGCCCATCCCAAAGTCCACTGATAGGGGAGGTCTTCTTTTCCTTTCTTCTGATCCTAGTCTATCAGGTTTCATCAGGAAACCTGATAGACTGCATTGTGTTCCTCTGTGGCCTGGTAGGGCTGCTCCCCCATCAGGGTGAGGTGACCAAAGAGCAGGCCAATCAGTTCATGTCAGAGACAGTACCTGTTGCAATTATTATGGAACCCACTAGGACACTGAACTGCCATGGGCTACATCTGTGCAGGGGTTCTAGGTTATCTTGGTACTTGGTTGGAGTATCAGTCTAATGAAAGACACCTGTGTCCAGATATTTTGGTTCTGTTGCTCTCCTTGTGGAGCTCTGTCTTCTCCAGATCTTATTATTTCCCACTTCTTTCATAAGATTCCCTGCACTCTGCCCAACGGCTGGCCATAAGTCTCAGCATCTGCTTTGTGCAGATTGGAGCCTTTCAGAGGCCCTCTGTGGCAGGCTCCTAATTTGTTCCCTGTTTGCTCCTTCCTCTGATGTCCATCCTCTTTGCCTTTCTGGATGAGGATTGAACATCTTAGCCAGAGTCATCCTTCTTGATTAGTTTCTTTAGGTGTACAGATTTTAGTAGGTTTATCCTATATTATATGTCTATATGAGTGAGTATATACTGTGTGTGTCTTTCTGCTTCTGGGATAGCTCACTCAGATGATCTTTTCCAGTTCCCCCTCCCATTTACTTGTAAATTTCTTGATTTCCTTGTCTTTTATTGGTGAGTAATATTCCATTGTGTAGATGTACCACAATTTCTGTATCCATTCTATTACAAATAAAGCTGCTACAAACATGGTTGAACAAATGTCCTTATTGTGTACTTGAGCCTCTTTTGGATATGTACCTAAGAGTGGTATAGCTAGATCTTGAGGAAGTGCTATCCCTAGTTGTCTGACAAAGTGCCAGATTGATTTCCAGAGTGGTTGTACAAGTTTACATTCCCACCAGCAGTGGAAGAGGATTCCCCTTTCTCCATAACCTCTTCAGCATATGTTGTCGCTTGATATTTGATCTTGGCCATTCTGATGGGTTAAGGTGAAATCTCAGGGTCGTTTTGATTGGCATTTCCCTGATGGCTAATGAAGTTGAGCATTTATTAAGTGTTTCTCTGCCATTCAATATTCCTCTATCAAGAATTCTCTGTTTAGCTCTGTACCCCATTTTTTAATTGGATTACTTGATTTGTTGCTTTTCAGCTTCTTTAGTTCTTTATATATACTGGATATTAAGCCCTCTGTCAGATAGAGGATTGGTGAAGATTCTTTCCCATTCTGTAGGCTGTTGATTTTTTTTTCTGACAACAGTGTCCTTTGCTTTACAGAAGCTTTTCAGTTTCATGAGGTCCCATTTATTTATTGTTGCTCTAAGAGCCTGTGCTGTTGGTGTTCTGTTCAGGAAGTTGTCTCCTCTGCCAATGATTTCAAAGCTCTTCCCCAATTTTTCTTCTAACTGATTTAATATGTCTGGTTTTATATTGAGGTCTTTGATCCACTTGGACTTTAGTTTTGTGCAGGGTGATAAGTATGGATCTATTTGCATTTTTCTACATGTAGATATCCAGTTAGAACAGCACCATTTGTTGAAGATGCTATCTTTTTTTCCATTGCATGGTTTTGGCATCTTTGTCAAAAATCAGGTGTCCATAAGTGTGTGGGTTTATTTCTGGGTCTTCTATTCAATTCCATTGATCCACCATTCTGTTTCTATGCCAGTACCATGCAGTTTTTATTATTGTTGCTCTATAGTACAGCTTGAGATCAGGGATGGAGATACCTCCAGAAGATCCTTTACTGTAGAGGATTGTTTTAGCAATTCTGGGTTTCTTGTTATTGCATGTGAAGGTGAGAATCTGTCTTTCAAGGTCTGTAAAGAATTGTGTTGGTAATTTGAAGGGAATTGCATTGAATCTGTAGATTGCTTTTGGTAAGATGGCCATTTTTACTATGTAAATTCTGCCAAGCCATGAGCATGGGAGATCTTTCCATCTTCTCATATCTTCTTCTAATTATTTTTTCAGAGACTGGATTTTTTTTTCATACAAGTCTTTGACTTGCTTGGTTAGGGTTACACCAAGGTACTTTATGTCATTTGTGGCTATTGTGAATGGTGTTGTTTCCCTAATTTCTTTCTCAGCCTTTTTGTCTTTTGTACACAGGAGTGCTACTGATTTTTTTGAGTTAATTTTGTATCTGGTCACTTTGCTGAAGGTGTTTATCAGCTGTATGAATTACCTGGTAGAGTTTTTGGGGTCACTCATATATACTATCATATCATCTGCAAATAGTGATAATTTGACTTCTTCCTTTCCAATTTGTATCCCCTTGATCTCCTTCAACTCTCTTATTGCTCTAGCAAAGACTTCCAGAACTATCTTGAAGAGATATGGAGTGAGTGGTCAGCCTTTCCTTGTCCCTGATTTCAGTGGGATTGCTTTAAGCTTCTCTCCGTTCACTTTGATTTTGGCAATAGGCTTGCTGTGTATTGCTTTTACTTTGTTTAGATATGTGCCTTGTATCCCTGATCCAATACTTTAAACATGAATGTGTGTTGGATTTTGTCAAGTGCTTTTTCATCATCTAAGGAGATTATCATGTGTTTTTTTTTCCTTTCAGTTTGTTAATACGGTGGATTACATTGATGGATTTTCATATACTGTACCACCCCTGTATACCTGGGATGAAGCCTACTTGATCATAGTGGATGATATTTTTGATATGTTCTTGTATTCGGTTTGCAAGTATTTTGTTGAATATTTTTCATCAATGTTCATAAGGGAGATTGGCCTGAAATTCTCTTTCTCTGTTGGGTCTTTGTGAAGTTTAGGTACCAAGGTGACTGTGGCTTCATAGAATGAGTTTGGTGTGTTCCTTCTGTTTCTATTTTGTGGAATAGTTTGAAGACAACTGGAGTTAGCTCTTCTTTGAAAGTCTGGTAGTATTCTGCACTGAAATCATCTGGTCCTGGGCTTTTTTTGGATGGGAGACTTTTGATGACTGCTTCTATTTCCTTAGGGGACATAACACTTTTTAATTTGTTTACCTGGTCTTGATTCAGCTTTGGTAAGTGGAATCACTCTAGACAATTGTCCATTTCATTTAGCTTTTCAAGTTTTGTGGCATATAGGCTTTTGAAGTAAGTCCTAATGATTGTTTGGATTTCCTCAGTGTCTGTAGTTATGTCCCCCCTTTTCATTTCTGATTTTGTTGATTTGGATAGTGTCTCTGTGCTTTTTAGTTAGCTTGGCTAATGGTTTGTCTATCTTGTTGATATTCTCAAAAAACTAGCTCTTGGTTTCATTGATTCTTTGAATTGTTTTATTTGTTTCTAATTTGTTGATTTCAGCCTTGAGTTTGATTATTTCCAGTTGTCTACTCCTTTTTGGTGTGTCTGCTTCCTTTTTTTCTAGGCTTTTTAGGTGAGCCATTCAGTTGCTTGAATGAGATGTCTTGAATTTCTTCTTGAAAGCACTTAGTGCTATGAAATTTCCTCTTAGCACTGCTTTCATTGTGTCTCATAATTCTGGGTATGTTGTGTCTTCATTTTCATTGAATTCTAGGAAGACTTTAGTTTCTTTCTTTATTTCTTCCCTGACCCAACTCTCATTGAGTAGCAAGTTGTTTAGTTTCCATATGTGTGTAGGCTTTTTGCCATTTCTATTGTTCTTGAGGTCCAGCTTTATTCCATGGTGATCAGACAAGATGCAAGGGATTATTTCAATCTTCTTGTATCTGTCAAGGCTTGCTTTGTGAACAACCATATGTTCTACTTTGGAGAAGGTTCCATGGGGTGCTGAGAAGAAGGTAAATTCTTTTGTGTTTGGGTGTAAGGTTCTGTAAATGTCTGTTAGGTACATTTGATTCATGACTTCTGTTAGAGACATTGTTTCTTTGTTCAATTTCTGTTTTGTTGACCTGTCCTTTGTTGAGAGTGGGGTGTTGAAGTCTCCCACTATTAATGTATGGGGATCTATGTGTTGTTTAAGTTTTATTTATGTTTCTTTTACAAATGTTCATGCCCGTGTATTTGGGGCATAGATGTTCAGAAAAAATATGAAACGCTTCATGAATTTGCATGTCATCCTTGTGCAGGGGCCATGCTAATCTCTGTATCGTTCCAAATTTTAGTATATGTACTGCCAAAGTGAGCACTCACCACATTTTTTTAAACTGTTTTCATTTCCATCTGGGTTTCATACATTGCATCATATTACAAATGGTTGTTGAATACAGTAGGAGATACTCTGCCTGAAGAAATAGCATTAATACAACTAGAAACTCAAGTTGCAAATTTTGAGTGCAGTAATTATATCTCTTAACTTTTGAAAAAGGCATAACAGAGGAGAGTTTGTTACAAACAGAATTGATACTAGAGGTAGAAGAGAAGATATATAATACAATACTCTGTTATATAAAGTTTAAAACAAAATTGAAGCATCCTTTATTATTTATAAATTATGAAGACTATCTTAATGAGAAAGTAACTAAGTAGTGAAATGGTTGTTTGTGGTTCAACATGATGCTATCTCAAGTTAGTTTGTAGATTCACATAATGATCCTAACTTCCATTTTACTTGATGCTTTTATTGGAAACCAACAATACAAAAAACTTCTTACACTAGAGAACATATTTATGTAAAATATATTAATATTTTAGTTTTTAGTAAAACCGCCTTAAGTAGGATACTTATCTAAAAAGAAATGTCTAATAGTTCATATTGTCCTACAAATGCCTTATTCGCTGACAAAATACAGACTTCCTCAGTTTACCTGCTTGTTTACATTTGAATGTGGCAGGCTGTAATCAGATCATTAAATTATTCCAGTAAAACCCTCCTGTTTCTTCCCTGCTTTGCTGTCTCTTGGGGGAGTTTAGAAATATGTTTTCAGTGATCAGTTTTCTGAAATCCTCCCCCAGTATGTCAGTTTGAATGAAAAGTAACCCACATGAGCTTACATGGAGCAGAATTGGTACCTACTCTGTGGGTACATTTTGGGAGTTGTACAACCTTTAGGAGGCAGTGCCTGGCTGCAAGAAGTACATCCACAGGGTAGACTTTGAGAGTTCATAGTCTCACCTCACTTCCAGGTCACCTTCTTTCCCTTATGTGTGTGCTTAGAGCTGATCTCAGCTTCCCACTGCAGCGGCCTCATGCCATGCCTTTCTCACCACTCTGGACTCCTACTCTGAAGTGGTTTACAGAAGTAAACCCTTCTGTAAGTTCCTCTGATCATGTCGTTTCATCATAGCAACAAAAAGCAAGTGAGACACTATCTCATTAGCAACAGTAATTTACACACTTTAACCCTTTCATTTATAAATTAAATAGTTCCTTCATGACGATAAGGTCAGGAAACATTATATGTTAAAAGTTAACAGCTTATACCAGCATCTTACGGTGACCAGAATCTCAGACTGGCAGAGACCAAATATATTCTTCACTTTGCCTTCCACTGGCACACTGAGATCTTTTGGGTTGTGTGGTAAACATGTTGTTGCAAACTTTATAATGTTTCCCATGAGGGGGAAGCAGCATTACCAGGCCACAGAAGAAGACAACGCAACCACTCCTGATGAGACCTAATTGACTAGGATCAGAAGGAAGGAAAAGAAGTCCTCCCCTATCACTGGACTTGGGGAGGGGCATGCATGCAGAGGGTGGAGGAAGGGAGGGATTGGGAGGGAGGAGAGAGGGAACCACAGGGGGGATACAAAGTGAATAAAGTGTAATTAATAAAGAAAAAAAAGAAAAGAAAAAAAAGTTGGGACACTCCTCTGTGCAGGAGGCAGAGCAATGGTATTCACAAAATATTCCTAACCACAAACAAAGCACTCTAGTATGGATTACCAAGTAGCCTTTCAACAACACTGGCATCTAATGACAATAACTACTGTCTGCCATAATTATTGAGATTACAGATAATCATATGCTAACATTCACTTATACATATACAGACTTTGTTTTTGGAATAATTTCCATCTTTAATTATTTTTTTTTTTATTTTAGATACTCAACCAACAAAAACATTCTCCATGGTTCTTAGTCCCAAATAATTTGGCATTTTCAAATCTTGGTGGGTAAAGAATTTAGCATTTAAAGTTATAGTAGTCTTATCCAAGAGTGGTCTAAAAATAAGTTTATATTTTAAGTAAGTAAATGCCAGATCTGAAACATCTTTTTTGACATCCAAGTATGAAAGTTTCTGTTTTTATTTCATCTATGAAATGGCAACTGCTACATGAAAGGTAACTTTTAATGTACTTATCAATGGTAAAGACACTTATTTCTTCTGAGAATTAATAATAAAATTTTTGGAATAAAAAGTGAATTTTTGCTGAATAATATTCCTGTAAAATATATATAAAAGACCTGCAGTTTATTATGACATAGGTTACTAATATACTTTCAAGAATAATTTAAATTAGAAGATGTTAAAAATGTCTTATTTTATGCAGGGTGATAAATATGGATCTGTTTTCATTTTTCTGCATGTAGACATCCAGTTAGACCAGCACCATTTGTTGAAGATGCTGTCTTTTTTCCATTGGATGGTTTTGGCTTCTTTGTCAAAAATCAGATATTCATAGGTGTTTGGGCTTATTTCTGGGTCTTCTACTCGGTTCCATTGATCCTCCTTTCTGTTTCTATGCCAGTACCATGCGGCTTTTATTACTATTGCTCTGTAGTACAGCTTGAGATCAGGGATGGAGATACCTCCAGATGATCTGTTGTTGTACAGGATCGTTTTAGAAATTCTGTTTTTTGTTTGTTTGTTTTGTTTTTGTTTTTTTGTTATTCCATGTGAAGTTGAGAATTTTTCTTTCAAGGTCTGTAAAGAATTGTGTTGGTATTTTGATGGGAATTGCACTGAATCTGTAGATTGCTTTTGGCAGGATGGCCATTTTCACTATGTAAATACTACCAATCCATGAACATGGGAGATCTTTCCATCTTCTGATATCTTCTTCAATTTCTTTCTTCAGAGACTTGAAGTTTTTCTCAAACAGGTCTTTCACTTGCTTGGTTAGAGTCTTGCAGGCAAATGGTGGGATCTAGAAAAGATAATTTTGAGTGAGGTATCCCAGAAGGAGAAAGACACACATGGTATATACTCACTTATAAGTGGGAACTAGACCTATAAGATAGGATAAACATACTGAAATCTGTACACTTAAAGAAGATAAAGAAGAAAGAGGACCCTGAATAAGATGATCAATGATCACTTAGAAAGACAAATGGGATGGATATTGCATGTAGGAGAAAACAAGTAACAGGAGCCTACCACTGAGGGCCTCTGAAAGTCTCTACCTAGCAGTGTATCAAAGCAGTTACTGAGACTCATAACCAAACCTTTGTCAGAGTACATGGAATCAAATGAAAGAAGGGGGAGTTAGTATGACCTGGAGAGGACAGGAGCTCCACAAGGACCAAATACATCTGGGCACAGGGGTCTTTTATGAGACTGTATCTCCAACCAAGGACTGTATAACCTAGAACCTCTGCTCGGATGTAGCCCGTGGAAGCTCAGTAACCAATTGTTTTTCCCTAGTAAGGGGAACAAGGACTATTTCTGACATGAACTCAATGGCTGGCTCTTTGCTTTCCCCCCACCCGAGGGAGGAGCAGCCCTGCTAGACCACAGAGGAGGACTTTGTAACCAGGCCTGAAGGTACCTGATAAGCTAGGGTCAGATGAAAAGGGAGGAGGTCCTCTCCTATCAGTGGGCTTGGAAAGAGATATGGAGAAGATGAGGGAGGGAGGGTGGGATTGGGAGGGAATGAGGGAGCAGGATACAGCTGGGATACAAAGCTAATAAAATGTAACTAATATTAAAAATTAAAAATTTAATTAAAAATCTCTTATTTTCTGTTATCTCTTTTTTGAGATTATAATAATGTTACATTACTTCCCCCTTCTCTTTATTCTTTCCAAGCTCTCTTGTATGCCCCCCTTGCTGTATTTCAAATCCATGGTGTTTTTTTAATTAATTGTTGTTAAATATTATATGAATATATTTAAATGCACTCCTACATACAGAAATACAACCTTCTCAGTCCATATGAAGTGACTTATATATGTATGTTTTTAGGACTGACTATTTTGTATTAGACAACTAATTGATATACTTTTATTTTTTAAAAAAGTACAAATCAGATATTTATATATTTCATTCATATATAACTTGAGTTGGTCATTTTATTTTTAAAAGATATAGTTAATACTTTGAACTTAGCACTTTAGAATGACAGTAAGAGTTTAACTATGTAGTCTATTTAAATATAAGCCTAGTTTCTCACTTTTGGCCTGTATGTGGAAAAGTCTTAGCAAGGAAATAAGAGTTTGACATTGAGAGAAATATTCTGGACATGCAGAGAAAATGTAACGTGTCCTGATAGTAGAAGACAATAGACTTGTACCTGCCATGCACAAATGCAGTCGTTTATGCATGGTCTAAGGAGAGGATCACAAAGTTTCTTTGGCTCAGAAATGGAATTTAGAACTATGTCGTGCTTCCCAAAGAACCCACATAAACTATAAGATAAATGTAGTGTGGCTAAGTAGCAAGTTAACATAATGGCTATTGCCTTCAAACTCTCTCTCTCTCAAGGCTGAAGCACTGTCTTGCCTTTGCTGGATCTCAAAGATGGAAACACAAAGTACTTTGCTGACTCTGAAACTGGTTTCCCTTGGGGTCATGAGGTTAAAGTGTAAGGATAAAGGGGCTCTGAGTCTAATGTGATAAACTGATAAACTGAAAGCTAGGGCCTCACAAGTCAGCATTGTTGCAGACTGCAAAAACTCTCTCTAATTTTGTTTTTGTTTTGGGAAAAAATTCTTAATTTATGTCTTAACTGGCCTGAAACTCACTTTGTAGACAAGGCTAGCCTTGAACTCAGAGATCCATCTCTCTGTACTTGTAAAATGCTAGTATTAAAGGCACGTACAATCACACCTAGTTAGTCAATAGATTCTTTTCTTTTCTTTTTATTAAATACAGTTTATTCACTTTGTATCCCAGCTGAAGTTTCTCCCCTATCCCCTCATAATCCCACCCTTCATCCCTCTTCTTCTCCTATGCCCCTCCCCCAGTCCACTGATGGGGGAGGTCCTCCTCCCCTTCCCTCTGACCCTAGCCTATCAGGTCTCATC